TCCCTCCCTCCCTCCCTCCTTCCTTCCTTCCTTTCTTCCATCCCTCCCTCCCTTCTTCCTTCTTCCTTCCCTCTTCCCTTCCTCCCTCCCTCCTTCCTTCTTCCTTTCCTCCTTCCTTCCTTTCTTTCTTCCCTCCCTCCCTTCCTCCTTCCTTCCTGTCTTCTTCTTATCAGCTGGTTGCCAGGTAAGATTTATGCCTTTTTGTCATTGGCTACCCCAGACAGAAAGCCTCAGTCTTCACAGCTCGAGCCACAGAACATCTGGTCCGAGCCTTGTGAAAGCGGTAACGTTCACATTCCCTTTGGGGGCTTGGACTGGAAGTCACATGGTCTCCACCCCCAGCCCCACCCCAGCATCACGGAATTCCATTCTCCTCTGGAATAAAAGGCTCCACTGAAACTTCCCCGGGGGATGTCCCGAAAGAATGAGAGAGAAGAGAGAAGGGCTTTCCCTCCCTCTCCCCCGGGATCTCGGGGGTCTGTACGCTCCTGGCCGCCCCCTAACAGGAACGGCTGGCTCAGTGTTCATCGTCTCCCGGGAGGTGAGCCTGATTCTCAGTCCCCTCTCACGGAGGAGGAAGAGCGCATGAAGGGCTCGTCCAAAGTCCCCCTGCGAGGTAGGACTGGAACCCAGCACTTGGTTCCAGTTCCAGGTCTTGGGTGTTACGCTACGGAAGCTAGTGAGCGCTGCGTCGGGAGGCAGAGGGACTAGGTCCAGCCCCATCTCTGCCCCATCCTTGTTAGCTGTGTGACCCTGGGCTCCATTATCTGTAAAATCCCGGGGGTGGAGGCCATAGCCTCTGCAGCCCCTCCAGGCAGGACCCTCTTCTCCACCACACGAGGCCAAGACACCTGCCTGGTTCTGTTGGGTCCCAGAGAAAATGCCGAGGAGCAAGACAAGACATGGGGCTGAGAGGGGAGCTTAGGCTCCGTGGGAGGGAAAGCCTCCTAAGGATGAGATGTGGGATGGGTTACTTGGGGAGGGAGGGAGCTGCCCATCCCTGGAGGTCGTCCTGCTTAGGGATGGGAGCCGAGACCTGACAAGGCACAAATGCCACGCTGAGAACAGGAGGCATTCCAGGACGGGCATGACAGCAAACCCGCCATTCCCTTTCCGGATGCGGCTCCGCGTCCAACACTGGAGGGCACGCTCACCCGGCTCCGGGGAGGTTTTGTGATTACTGACCACTAGATACACTTGGCACACATTTAGCCAGGGAAGTCAACAGTCAGAGCCCAGTAGTCAGACCTCAGTTCAAAACCAGCCTCAGACACTAATTAGCTGGGGGACCCTGGGCAAGTCACTTGATCTCTGTTTGCCTCAATTTCCTCATTTGTAAAGTGGTGATAACAGCCCTTACCTCTCAGTATTGTGAAGATCGAATGGGACAACATTTGTAAGCACATCCTTGGCACACAGTCGGTGATATATAGATATCTATTGCCTCCCTCCCCGCCCAGTCTTCTCACACCTCACTCCCCAAAGCACTTCCCGGACTTCCCGGCTGGTTCATGAACAATACCCTCATCCCATAGCCCCGGACATTCTCTCCAGCATCACCAGGTCTGGAAGGCTCTTCCTCCTCTCTGACCACTGACCTCCCTGGCTTCCTTTAAGTCCCCACCAAAATCCCACCTCCTATAGGAAGCCTTCCCAACCCCCCTTAATTCCCTCTGTTAGTTTTTTCCTACTTATCCTGTCTACAGATTGCATATATTTGTTTGAGTGATGTCTCCCCCAGTAGACTGTGAGCTCCTTGAGGGCAGGGACTGTCTTTTGCCTCTTTTTGTATCCCCAGTCCTTAGCACAGGGCCTGGCAAATGGTAGGTGCTTAATAAAACATTTATTGACTGACTAGAATGATCAGTGTGTGGAAGGAATTAATACAGGATCATAACCGCTAACATTTCTACTGTGCTTTAAGGCTTGCAGAGCACTTTATAAATATCTCATTTGAGTGTTACTACAACAACCTTGGGCCATTATCCTCCCCATCTTACAGAGGAGGAAACTGAGGCTGAGAGGGAGATTCAATGCCTTGTGCAGGTCACTGGAGCTGGTGTCTGAGGCAGGATTCGAGCCCAGGTCTGTGAAAGGTGGGTTAGAAACAGACCACACAAGGCCATCACTCCCGGAATATCTTGTCTCTCTTTTATCCTAGAAGGCATGGGAGCCAGTAAAGGTTCTGAGCCTGGGCCTCAGAGGGATTCTTCGGGCAGCTGGGTGGAAGACAGATTGCAGAGACCCCATTCCATCGAGCCCCCTCCCCCAAGAAAAGCAGGGCAACACCAATGCTGGGGGGCAGAGCCTTCACTTCCCAGGCTCCCTCTGGGCTCTACTCCAGAACGGTACAGAAGCTCTTTTTGCTTTATTGTGACTTTCACAGCCACAGTCTCTGAAAAAGCAGCTGGTCTGGGAATGAACGACCTCTCCACTCTTAGTTAATGCTCCCTGGCTACTGTTCTGGGACAGACTACCTCTGCTCTGGCATCTTCTATTGTGAAAATAACACCTTTTCCCTGTGGTTGTACCCAAGGGCAGGATGTCTCTGAAGCGTCTTAGAAAGGGAACACAGGGGCAGCTAGATGGCACAGTGGATAGAGCACTGGCCCTGGAGTCAGGAGGACCTGAGTTCAACTCTCAGTTTCAGACCAGACATTTGACACTTACTACCTGTGTGACCCTGGACAAGTCTCTTAAGCTCAATTGCCTTGGGGGAAAAAAAAAGAAAGAAAGGAAACACAGCATTGCCCTTGGGGGTATCCCTGCAGAAGGAAGGTCCAAAGGACAGGGGAGAACTTACTTGTCGTAGTCTCATTATACGAGGGTGTGGTCTCGTTGCTTATAGAAGCCTCGGTGGCAATGGCGGTGAGGGCCAGGCTAACACCGAGCAGCAGGGGCTGGCCCACGGGTTCCATTGTGGATCTGCAAAGCAACCCAGAAGATGCAGGGGAATCAGTAATGAGGACACCTCGCAGCCACAGAGCATGGTCTTCACTGAGGACAGCTCTGGGAGGGAGCCCAGCTTCATTAGCCTGATTCTGCAGAAAAAGAAATGGCAGCCCAGGGAGGGGATCTCCCAAGGCCCCACAGCTAGGAGGCTACAAGAGCCGTGGGAGCCCATTGAGCTGCTCCCATGGGACTGGTCAGCCCCTCCATGCTACAGAATCCTGCCTGGAACACGAGACACGGAAGAATGCTGGAGCCCCCAGTGGCCCAGGGATGGAAGAATGTTCCTTTCCTCGCTGACATTCAAGGCCAACAGGAATAAGAAAGAGGCATGTTTTGTTCTGTTCTGTTTTGTTTTTAAATCAAGCATCTGAACTGAGTTGTACAATTACATTGTTAAAATACTTTCAACTTAACACATAAATATATTGACTTAAAAAACTGTTCTTGTGGTAAAAATATGGATTTAGGCAAATCACTGAGTACCTTTTGTTGATCAAGGAAAGAACAATTCATTACATTACTGAATGGGAGAGGTGGAGGCATGAGTGGGTAGATGGTTGGATGGAGATACAGGAGAATGGACAGATGTCTGTACATATAGAATGAATGAAAGATGGATGGATAAGTAGGTGGGTGGGTGGATGGATGGATGATTAGATGGATGTATGGATGGGTGGGTGGATGGATGGATGGATGGGTGGATGAATAGATGGATAGATGGATGAGTGGGTAGATGAATAGATGGATGTATGTATGGGTGGATGGATGATTAGATAGATGGTTAGATGGATGGATGGATGGGTGGGTGGATGATTAGATGGTTAGATGGATGGATGGATGGATGGATGATTAGATGGATGAATGGATGGGTGGGTGGATGATTAGATAGATGGATGAGTGGATGGATGATTGGGTGGATGGATGAATAGATGGATAGATGGGTAGGTGGGTGGGTGAGTGGGTGAATGGATGGATGATTAGATGGATGATTAGAAGGATGTATGGATGGTTGGGTGGATGAACGATTAGACAGATGGTTAGATGGATGGATGGATGGATGGATGAGTGGATGGATGATTAGATGGATAGATGAATAGATAGATGGGTGGGTGCGTGGGTGGGTGAGTGGATGGATGGATGATTAGATGGATGGTTAGAAGGATATATGGATGGATGTATGGATGGTTGGGTAGATGGATGGATGGATGGAGTGGATGGAGGTCTTTTCAGGTTTGATGGAAGTCTTGGGGCCTCTAGGATCAACCTTGTAGTTACTAAAATAGTTTCATAGATCTTTCACAGAATCTCAGATGAAAGGCACCTCAACGCACCTCGTCCAGTACACACCAGAACAGGAATCTCCTCTAACGCACACCTAAAAAGCACTTGCTCACTCACTCTTTGGTCCCAGGTCTCCAGCGGGGGGGAGTCTACGCCCCCGAAGCAGCCCGTTCCACTCATGTGGGAGCTTTTCATCCCACTAAGTCCAGACCTGCCCCTCTGTAGATTCCCCTGCCCCTGGTTCTTCCCTCTGGGGCCAAACAGAATCAGCACACTCGCTCTTTCCCAGTCCTGAGAACACTTGGACCCTTCCAGGCACCTTTCCTGTAAGCTGACCCCCTGGGCAGGTTCCTTCCCCCTTCCTCCTGACACGGACCCGAGCTCCATCTTGGCCTTCTTCCTACAACGTGCTGCCCATAATGGAACACAGCCCTCCAGACAAGACTAGACCAGGGCAGAGGATGGACTTCTGTGTCACCTCCTCCCTCCTTCAGGGACTCTGGGCTTCTCCCTGCACAACCTCAGATGCCATTAGCTGCTGTTTCCCATGGCTGACAAACAGCTAGAGAGCTTGTGGTTTACTAAGACGCCTAGGTCTTTTTTTTCCTCTCTCACTGGACCTGAACAAGGGTGGTGGTTGTGTGAGGAGAGAGATGTGACCCGTGCTGTGGAGGAAGAAATGACAAGGTTTGACAAGAGACTGGATAGATGGGGTGAGTGAGAGTGAGGGGTCACCGACCACACTGGAGTTGGGAGCCTGGAGAAGCGGGAGGGTACAGCACCTCGACAGTAACAGGGAAAGTGGGAAGAAGAGAAAGTTCTGGGGAAAGGATCCCATGGTCTGTGGCAGATGTAGCTAGAACAGAGCAATTTTGAAATGCCAATGGACAATCGATGATTTAGGACTGGGCCTCAGGAGAGAGGTAGGGACTGTATGTACAGATCTGAGAGTCCTCTGCAGAGAGGTGATAATGAGACCCTTGAGAGCTGATTAGGCCAAAAGAGAGACAGGAGAGAGAGAGAGACAGAGACAGAGACAGAGATAGAGAGACAGAGATAGAGACAGAGACAGATAGACAGAGAGACAAAGAGACAAAGAGAGAGACAGGAGAGAGAGACAAAGACAGAGACAGAGATAGAGACGGAGACAGAGAGAGATAGAGACAGAGACAGAGAGACAGAGACAGAGAGAGACACACAGAGAGACAAAGAGACAAAGACAGAGAGAGACAGAGAGAGACACACACAGATAAACAGAGAAAGAGAGGAGACAGAAGATCTGCGGACTTGATGGTTACAAAGTCTGGTCTTGGTTTTTGTTACCTCTCGAGGGATGATGCCAAGGGAAAACAAAGAATAAAAAAAGGAAAAACGTAAGAGCAATCCAGAAAAAGTAACCGACAGACCAGTTGAATCTCCTGGTGCTCCCAGTATTCCACACCTGTAGTCCCCCACCTCTTCAAATAAGAGAAGGATGGCCATCTTCCCTTGGCCGTTGTGTTACAGGCTGGCTCCCGATCCCACCATTTTACTGCCAAAGTTGTCTCTCAGCTTCCCTACGATTTCTGAACTGCTGACTGTCCATGACTGTCCATTACTCCCCATGTTTCTCATGTTTCTCCTACATATGTGTCCAGTCCTCTCCAGTCTCCGTTCACGGGTCACCACTGATTCCCCACAAGCTCCCTCTGGGCTCTGTCCTGGGTCCTCTTCTCGCTCCACAGCCCCGACGGTCTCAAGAGCCCTCACTGATCACCTTCTCACAAGCGACTTCTGGTCTGTGTGTCCTCCCCAAATCTCTGCCCTGGGCTCTGCTCCGGCACCGCCAGCAGCTCAGCCTTTAAGTGTCTCCAATTTATGGAAGTCCAAACCAAAGTTCACCCTCATCATTTCCCCCAAACCTGCCGCTCCCTCCAAACATCCCGATTTTTGTCCAAGGCTCCATCATTTTTTTTTCTGCTGCCCAGGTTTGTAACTTCAAAGTCATCATCTGTGCTTCTTTCCTCGCTTGACCCCAGATCCAACCAGTTTGAGTACTGCTTCCATTGGGCCCATGGCACTCATCTCCTCTCTACTCGTAAACCCTCCGCCCTAGTAGCAAGCCCCCATATCTTCCTTCCTGGACTATTATATTGTTGTTCATTCATTTTTAGTTGTATCTGACTCTTCACAATCCCATCTGAGGCTTTCTTGAGAGATACTGGAGTGGTTTGCCATTTCCTTCTCCAGCTCATTTTATAGATGAGGAAACTGAGGCAAGCAGGGTTAAGTGACTTGCCCAGGGTCACCCAGCTGTAAGTGTCTGAGGCCAGATTGGAACTCATGAGTCTGCCTGACCCCAGGTCCAGCGCTCTGTGCACTATGGTGCCCCCTAGCTGCCTGTCCTAGACCATTGTAACTGCCTCCTCCTGGGTCTTCCTGCCTCCCCGATGCCTCCTCGGCACAGCTGCCTCCCTGCGGTACAGATCTAAAGGCATCACTCCCTGCTACCATGACTCCCTAGTGCCTCTAGAACAAAGCACACATCCCTCAGATGGCATTTACTGCCCCCCAGGCTGACTCTGGCTTGTCTTTCCAGCCTTCTCTCCCATTACAGCCAAACTGGGATATCAGCTGTTCCTGAGCCCAACATTTCATCTCCACCGCTGTGTATTTGCACACTGTTTCTCACGCCTCCTCTGTGAAGCCTTCCCTGATGTCCCTAGGTGTCAATCTCTTCCAAATGGACCAGGGTTTGAGAGCTGGAAGGGCCCCTGGAGATCTTCATTCATTTTGGAGAGAAGCCGGGGCTGGGAGGGACCTTAGAGATCATCCACCCATTCTACAGAACAAAACTGAGGTCTTCCCCGGGTCGGTGGCGGATAGCCACAGCATGGCCTGGAGCACCCCACCCTGAAGCCTCAGATTTTCTCACCTCCACATCCGCTGCATTTTCCAAGCGCTTCAAGGCTTGCCAAGAACTTTACTTGGGTTATCTCACCGGAAGATGTAGGATCATCTATCGCTTTTCTATGACCGATGCCTAGTATACAGCCAGAGACTCAGAGTGAAGACCAGGGAGGTGAGCTTAGGAGGCTGCTCTAGGAATGGCACAGGCCGAGGTCGCAGAGGCGCCAGAGTCAGTGCTGGCCCAAGCTGGGGTGTCGGGAAGTTACTGCTATGAGACTTAGAGTTGGGGACAGACATTCTGCGCCTCTATGAACCCGGGAGGGGATCCAGAGGAGGCAGATGCTGTTTTCTGGTCCCAGGCTCTCCTGGGAATTCCTCACCTTTCTCTTGGTGTAACACACAGTGATGAGGGGGAACCCCGAGGATTCACCAGGAAGGAGGGAGTCTCAATCCCTTGTACCTCAGCTTTCGAGGAGACAGACTGAACCCAGACCCCAGGCTGTCCGAGGGGACGAAAGGGACCTCAGAGCTCACCGAGCCCATGCTGGACCTGAGCAAGAATCTGCTCTGTGAGAGTACTAACTAGGCCTAAACAGCCTAAACAGGGGAATTAAAGCAACCCCCTCAGAAATGAGAAGCCAGGAGGCCTGGGGCCTGGGCTGGAAGACCTGCGTGTTTCTGGGAGAATCCCAGACAGCAGAGCCAGCCAGGATGACCAGAACTGAAGGAGCACCTCCCTGGTCACCCCTGACCGGAGGGTGGACACCCAGAGCTGGCTTGAAGACCCCCAGGGGCTCCTGTCA